TGTGTGTGTGTGTGTGTGTGTGTGTGTGTGTGTGTGTGTGTGTGTGTGTGTGTGTTTTAGTCCCGATCAAAACTACGTGACAAAGAAACTTTAGTTTGTTTAAAACAATATTGAACCACAAAGAGGATCTATAACTAAGTTAACTCAGCTTGTTTTATGACTGATAAGAGGCAGATGTCCAGTGTGAACCTGCTGATTCAACACAGACAGCAGCGCAGGCAGCCTCCTCCTCCTCCTCCTCCTCCTCTCCTCACCCGAGTCTGAAGGAGAGTCAGGCTGTGGAGCTCAGTGGAGCTAAAGTCTCATCAGATCAAGCTGCTGGTTCAAATGTTGATTCAGTGATACATGAAGCCTTGTGTTGCTGAGGYATTGTGTGTCTGTGTGYGTGATTGTGTTCAAATGATATTAGCCGCTAACATGCTAATACGAAGCTGTAACAGACGATCATGCTATGCTAGCTGTTCCACCCCTTGACTGCTGCAGGGGCRTGTCTTAGAGAGAGACTTTTATTTCAGAACACGGCCGCTGTGACGAAACYGTGGAGAAGACACGTCATCATGGAGAGCTTTAACCAATATGTAAATGAGCCTGCAGTACCACTGCTCAACCCATAGCATGCAGCAAAGARACRTTTTTGGACCAAATATTACAGATTTGAACAAATACGAACAAAAACATCAAAATTAGCACAGAAACAGTACTATATAACATTTTAGACGTATTCTAGATAGTTCATCAGCTAAAAAAGTTAATTTTGGGGTAAGTTACTCTTTAAAAGACACATGTTTTTATGTAAAAAATGCTGTGTTCATGTATGAAGGTTAACATGTTTGTAAGGCTGCAATAAACCCACCTGAAGACCCTGTGGAGGTGAGTTAAGGTCACGGGTGAGCGTGTCGCTGAGCTGTGACAGGAAGTTCTCACAGCAATGTTTTCTTAAAGAGTCGACCACCCCGAGGTACGCCGCTCTCACCAGGGGGCAGCGCTGAGCTGCAGTTCCCAACCACAGAGAGGTCTGAACCCGACTCAACACCTCATGGAGATCACCGGAGAGCTCGCTGGAAAAAACAAACAAACAAAAAACACTAGAAATTTTCTARAACCGGAAGGTTTCTGATGAATGAGTGAGCGAGCCTCTCTCTGAAGTCCCACCTGGCTGTGCGGAGAGCTCGGTCCAGAACGGYTCTGATCTGCAGCAGCTGTCCGTGGAGCTGGTTGTGGCTGCAGGACTCCTGAGGACTGGGCAGCTGAGAGGTCAGTTTGATGAGGATGTCAGCGTACTGAGAGGAGGCCGTCATGGCCACCAGAGCTTTAGAGGCTTTCACTCTCACACTGTAAATGGGACTCGCAGACAGCTGGAGTAAAGGAGGCAGGAAGTCCGACAAAGTTCTGCAAGATTAACATAAAAAGACATTTAAAGCTCAAATAAACATTCAATAACAAATGAATTAGCCCTGAAAGTAATAACTGCCCTGCATAACTGCCTTCACGCAACAGAAAACAATAAAATGTATTAAGTTCTCTGAAAAACCGTAGACAGAACTACTCTGATGGGTCTTGGGCTCCAGGCTGGAGTTGGGCCAGCAGGGTCAGGATGGGATAAAGCGAGGGTTGGAGGTGTAGTTGGGCCCCGCCGGCTGGACCCTGGAGGTTCTGTGCTGCCTCTCTTAGTTCGCCCAGGAGGAAGGGCTGGAGCGCAGGATAGTGGAAGAAGAAGGCAGCAGAGGACAAGCTGTGCTGGGTCGGGCCGGCCTCCTCACTACCGGACCGTTGGCCAAGCATTCGAGAGCAAAGAGAACCTACAAACACATTTGGAATAATGTTGATGAATTATTTTATTGAAAAAAAAAAGTTCTGCATTAKTTTTTCTGCCTCTAACACAGCAAATAACGCACATGTGTCAAACTCAAGGCCCGCGGGCAAAATGTGTCCTGTGAGGGACTTTTGTCCGGCCTGCCAAAGGGCCAAATGTTATTAAAAAAATTCTAAATTTAACTACCGGTAAATAAATTTTATTAAACTTGAAAATATATTTTATTTCAATGGCAAAACTTTAAATTTATGATTTAATGAAATGAAATAAACAAACAAAAGTTGAAAGKTAATAATACTTATACTAGCGTAGATGGGAGCAAGCTTTTGCTGAGGTGGCCCTAAGACTCTGGAACAGAGTCTGTTCAGTCTTTTAAAAATATCTTAAAAACTCACTTTTTTACACTGGCTTTTAAAGTGCCTGTGACATGCATATCCATGAAATACAAAAAAGGCAAAGAAAATTTATTTATATTTAAGGAACTTGGCATAATACACATGATTTGACCCATTACGTCACATAATTGGCATTTTTTTCTTTTGAATTTGGTTCAGCTAAAGTGAAACAGGAAGTGACATCAAAGGGGAACTCTTTGRGAAAGAAAACGCCCTGGTTTTTGTTTATTAAAACAATATTATTTGAACTACGACTCTCTCATCACTCTATGATAGCGATTAAAATAATCTAAAGAAACATTAGATTATTCTCTACAGTCTGTGTTGTTAGCCATTTTAGCAATGTTCTGTTTACATTCAGACATTCCCCTTTGACATCACTTCCTGTTTCTTCACATGTGAATATCTAAACAACTGTTCATCTTGGAGGCATGAAATCTTTTTTACAATATGTTATCAGTGTTATCTTTCCAAAAATATATTAATATTTATTATAAAAATTTGATGTCACAGGCACTTTAATTCAAGTTTGGTTTGAGTTACATCAAACTTGTTTTTAGTGTTTACAGTTTTAATTGTATCGTGTCTGTGAAGCACTTTGAACAACACTGTCATTTAGAAATGTGCTATATAAATAAAGTGATAATGATGATGATGATGATAATACTTGTCCTGGCCCTGAGCATTTGACTTTAATTAACTGTGAATAAGCCAGCGTTGACCATAAACTACATTCCCCATAATACATGTTGATTATGCCTGATGGAAAATGAGAGTTCAGAATTCAAGACTTACCGCAACTCATCAGTGTGTAAAACTCTCTTACTTTTACTTTTAGTAGTGTTTTTTTATAATTTATTTTATTTACATTAAATTATTATTATTATTATTATTATTATTATTATTATTATTATTATTATTATTATTATTATTATTTTTTTTATTTTGTATAATTTATTTTACATTTACTCAGATGTACACGTAGTGTTTTTTAGTGTTTATTTAAGAACATGTTAAAACCCTGTTTCTATGCAGGAAATACCATGTAGAGCTAAGTTATTATTTGTTAGCAGTGCTCAGCTGCAGCAATGAGACGAGGAGCGTGATGTTTTCAGTTGAGCTAAAGTTAAACACAAAACATCAAAGTTCATTACAACTGACCCTTTGAGGGCCACCTTAATGCTCACATGGCCCTCAGGGAAAATGAGTCATGATACTCCTGAGATAACTGATAAATACTAAGTAATAATAAATGATAACCACTTTACAAAACTAAAATGGTCAGTTTATGTTCATCTGATGTTGATGTAACTGTTGAGGTACTGAAATCCTTTACAGGCTAAAAGTAAAGAGTTAAATGTGTTTGTCTCACTGTAAAGCTGCAGAGCGGCATTCCTCATGGCCCAGCAGGGAGAACTGAGCAGAGCGAGAGACAAGATGACAACAGCAGGTGCGAACTGAAGGACGGCTCCTCCCCAACCTGCTCCACGCACCAACGCCTGCAGAGTGTGAACCGCACACACCTGCGAGGGAAACATCAGGTTCAAATCAGACAACAAAACAACCCTGAGGGTCCTGCTGCGTGTGTGTCCTCACACCTGCGGCAGGTCCAAGGTTTGGTCCCAGTTCTCATCCAGAGGGGTTTTAGCCATGTCCATCAGGGCTTCCATGCTGGAGGCTAACAGTGGCCTGGCTTTGCTGGCCTCCTCTGCCGACAACACGCACAGGATCAGGACGGGCAGCCCTGCAGCCCGCCGGGTCACAGACGCAGAGCGAGGGCACCGCACGACCTCCAGTCCCTTAAAAAAATATTTTATATATACAGATTAAAAATATAAACAATCACTTCAGGAAGTATTTTACTAAGTATCACTCACTTCTTTCAGCATCTGTGTTGGAATGTCTTGAAGTTGTGGCTCAGTGCTGCCCAGCAGTGAGGAGCAGAATTTTGTGAAGCCTAAGCAGCAACCCTCTACTGCCCCCTACTGACGCAAAGATGTATTATTTAGAAAAAATCTGATCAATTTGCCTGAATCTCTATAGATTTTTACAAACCGCACCCAGTGACGACATTTGAGAAGAATATCTTTGAAGACTTTTGATGCTCTCCTTAAGTCTTGTTTTGTTAGAAGACACTCGCTTCGCTGTTTGGTTTCTGTCAGGATTTTCTCCACCAAAGAACCCAAGAGAATTCCTATTTCCTAATAACAATAATAAAATACATTACAAACAAATAAACGGAATTATGAGCTAAAGTATTAGAGCTTCTCAGAGAGCTTTATGAGGCAGATCTGTTTCACCTTCAGTGAGACCCAGCAGCAGGTGAGAACCAGACTGTGCTCCTCAGACAGCAGGATGCACTCGTCTCCGTCAGCTTCTCCTCCTCCTGAGTGCTGGGAGATCAGAGAGCTGATGGCGTTGCCCATTTCGCAAAAAGAAGGTGGAGCATCTAAGAGAGGAAAGCATCTTAGTCTGCCGTGATGAAGAAGTCTGAAATAACTTTCAAACTAATTATGCAGACTGTCTCAGTACATGTTTCACCAGCTTCACGGTCTGCGCACAGAACAGCAAGCAGCAGCGCAGAGATGTTCTCCAGGAGGCCCAGCATCTTGTCCATCATAATGGTGTCGAGGGTGTCATAGATCTGGTTTGGTGCCTCCAGCAAACATCTCTGCAGGGCACAGAGGACGCCTGAAATAGAAAATGTTAGGAGTCTGGAGCTCAGGATTATTTATCTAACAGAGTTTAAACCTCACCGTGTATCGGTTTTGTTCGGGCAGCGAGCATCATGTCGGTTTTAGCCGTCTGATAATGCTCCTCCAGCTCCTCCAGCAGGACTCGGACCAAACAAAAGGGATCTCTGCCGGAGTTCAGTCTGCAGTCTTTGCACTGATGTCCTGATCTGCAGGGGAAAAAAACATCATGTAAATCTAAAGGTTTGACTCTGATTAGGGCTGCATGATAATGAGAAAACGTGATTTGCAATAACAATGATTAACACTGCAAAGACGATATGACATGTGCAACAAACGAACAAATACTTACCGGTAAGTAAGCAGAGTTAAACAGTGATAAACAGTGTAGTGGTCATTTAACACTGCTATATTTGCTGTGTGATGTATTTCAACTTAACAGTTTTATTTTTTAAAAAGTACAACTAGACACAGCTGCTGTGTTAGCAGTGAAACAAACTGCAGGCAGTTTCTTAATAATTTTAAAACATCGTCCCCATAACACATTTTCTGATGCTATAAATAATGACAAATCAGTTTTTTAAAATAAATTATTAAAATATATCTTCAAAAAAGAAACAATGCTTTTTTTCAACTACAAGTTTTTTGTTGCAAACATTTTCCTCGCTCGTCTTGCTTTCAGCCAWTGCGATGCTCACTAAGTTTGCTCAGTTGTTTGCTATCCACCCACGTCAATGTAAGGGGGCGAGTATCTAATTTAAAGAGAGCCATTTGATTGGTCAAACACTTTTTGACAAAAAACATAAATGCAAACATTTGAGCCAAACAGCAGTTGTCGCGATGATGATGACGATAACTTTTCGATGTATTGTGCAGCCCTAACTCACTGACAGAGGCTTAGTGGGAGGAGGTAAGGCTTACTTCTGGACCAGAACCTTCATCATGAGCGCTCCTGTCTGAGCCTCYGGAACCCGAGGGCTGCACAGAAGCTGCTTGGTCCTCACCATCAGCACTTCGGCGATATCATCTGGGAAACTGGGTGGAAAAAATCTCAACAACAACTCAGAGGAGAGCTCTCGAATCTGAAACAAAAACACATCCCAGGTGTGAAACTTTCACCAGTTTAAACAATAAGGAGTCGTGAAAGAAAACAGTTCTACCTCATTCGTGGAATCTTCCAGACAGCTGATCAGAACCAGCTGTTTAGTCCTGCTGAAGAAATCCCACTGTCCTCTCTGTCTGGCAACAGTAATCAGAGTTCCTATATTTGCTGCAAAAATAAATTAAAATACATTATTAACAACTACAAGTGTGTACAAAAAAACACAAAGGTTTAGTTTTAGAAACTAATTATGTACACAAGAATGTATTACCATTATATAGCTCAGTAAAACTTGTTTTGCTTAAGTTTAGAATTATTTTGTAGAAAAAAACAACATTTTAGACAAGAAATAAAATGTACATGTGAAAGTTTCCTTTTTTATTTATTTATTTATTTATTTATTTTGTGTGTATGTGTGTTTTTGCGTATATGGGAATGCCATTTGATGGCATAGTGTGGTTTGAACTGGTTAGCAAAATATTTCATGAACTGAAATGAAATTCCATCTACTTCGAAAGCAGAACAGCTAATCCACATTACCCGGGATAAAAATGGCTTTAACTCTGTAATTTTTACAGATATGGAGCTAAAATTTAACGTGGAAAGATTTGAGCATCATCCGCTACATACGCTCTGATTGGTGTAAGAAATAATTTGCACAAAATCCCTTGAAACTGAGTGAGATCTCCATAAACGTCATTTTTAACATTCAACAACATCAGAGTTTGTTCTTTCCTTTTCAACTCTTCGGGAGGTTTTCCTCTCACCTGGAGGCTGTCCCTTCTTCCTGTCAGGACTCCAGGTGTCGGTGCACGTCTCCAGCAGGGCGGAGAGCAGCAGCAGCACCGTCTTCTTCCTCTGGTAGCTGTGTCCTGGAGCCAGGTAGCAGTATGGAAGCTGACCTAACCACTCCACAAACTCTACACAATGTAAGTAAAAACCAAAGAGAGAAAATGACTTGGAGCTCTCTTGTGAACTCAGACTTGCAACTCTGGGTTTTCCTCACCGATCTGCTCCAGGATATCCTGCGTTCTCTCATGAATGGTGTCCTTTCTGCCCTTCGCTCCTCTGAGAAGCGCCAAACAGCCGTCTCTGACACGGACCAGGAACTTCCTGACCCCGGCCTGAAGGTGCTGGCGAAACGACGAGGATTCGCAGTTCAGGTTCTGAGGAATGAACTCCCTCAGCATCTCCATCTCTTCTGTAGTCGGGGCGTCTCTGGTCTTTGGGCTGCAGCACAGCACGCCGAGAGCCGCGAGGCGGATTTTATCGTCTGCAGAGCCCAGAGCCAGCCGCAGCGTCTCCAAGGTGGAGCCGCCCCGAAGGGACCACGGCGAGCGGCCCGTCGCGGCTCGGTAGGAGCTCAGGACGCAGGCCCGGGCGTGAAGATGCCCGGGCTCCTGAGGGTTCAGACCAGCCAGCAGAGGGTCCACTGCGGAGGGGAAAATCTGAAAGGTGCAGGGCAACAGGTGTGACGAGCTGCTGTTCAGCAGAAGAGTCACGTCAGACGTCAGAGCCTGGTGAAGGAAAGGCTGCCAGCGCCTCGCCCAGTGTCTGGACAGATCCGCCTCAGAGAGCGAGGAAGACTCCTCTGATCGTTCACAGAGCTCTCGCCTCTGCTGCTGGACCAGACGCTTATACAGCTCTGATGCACACGGCGACAGGTGATTGGTTGATAAACACTTCAGGAGATGACTGGACAACTCGGGGTATCCATCCAACACCTGAAGGAGAGAAAAACTCAATTCAATCGCACAAATATAGACAATCTGCTTTCCTTAAATGGACTCTAAGTTTTAAATTCAGGATGGAATGACTGCTAAATCCTCACCACATCAGTACCCAGATGTGGCAGCAGAGCACAGAGGCGAAGATATTTGGCTTTGGCTTCCCAGGGTAGTTTCATTACTCTCTGAAGCAGGGTAGAATAAAACGTCCTCTTTACATCAGAAAACTGCTCACAGTCCATTTTATAGAGGCTCAGCAGCTGAATAAAGGCACTGTTTGCAAATTCAGGCACTCCTTCTACCTGGAAAGAGACAGATAGAAATATTGAATTCTGTCAGTTTTTATTGTTTTAAATGAGTTTTTAAAATAGTCAAAAACACCAGAGATAGTAGTGGTTCGCTTATTTAGTTGAAATGTTAACAGAAAACTGTCAATCATCTTACAAATCATCAATCGTGTATGTTTCTTTAGCTCATAAGGTTGTTTTAAAAGAATTCACCTTTACATACATGCCTCTAAAAAAGATAAAATAGTAAAACCAGTTTATACACTGCAAAAATTGTCCATCTAACCAAGTCTTACAATCTTATATCCAATCAAAACCCAATAATATAAGACAAATTCACTTAGTAAGACTTACTGAAAAAGGAAAAGAAAAACCCAAGCTAACAACATTAATAATGGAACACATTCTGCTCTAGCTTAGTCTCAAAACAAGATGTTTTTGACTGAATATGAGTGTATGACTTGGTTAGATGGACATTTTTTGCAGTGTAAACAGGAAACCAATTTATACCCTAAAAATTTAGGGACAAATTTCAGAATCAGAACCAGAATAATTGATCACCGAGGGAAATTACATGTATTCCAGCTGCAACYGTTCAGATCAGAGGAATGTGTAATCAAAGAAATTAGCCCACTAGAATAAAATAAGTATAAACACTCAGGATTACAAAACAAGCACACTTATGTACACATAAACAATGTACAATAAAAATAATAGGAATATTAAGAAAATGTGTACTGCATGTAACGAGAGATAAYGTTTGGTATATTGCACATGTTTRGTGAGTGYCATGGGTAAAATACAGTAAATTAAATATCAAATAAAGACTAAAAATAACAAATGTACAGATRTATTAATGTAAATGTAAATRTACAGATGATCTAGTGTCACATGTTTAGGGAGGAGTTATAGAGTTTGATGGCCACTGGTAGGAACGACCTCCTGTGGTGCATTTTGGTGGAATGAGTCTTTTGYTRAATTTGTRCTTCTGTGACAAATCTKWTKAGTTTTAAAGTTTGTATCCTGTTACTGTTTTTTTACTGACTGTGTAGAAGGATGAAATGAAGTTCAGCGACTCACTGGGCTTTCTGCGTTGGTCCAGATGATGTGAGCGAGCTGCTGCAGCCGGCTGCTGTTGTCGGGTAAAAGACGGCTGCCCGTCGTCTTCCAGAGGTCCGGCACGCATTCTTTCACTCTTCTCAGCCACAGTGTTAACACTGCAACAACGTGTCGCATGTGAACAGACGTCAACGCTGAAACACGTGGGCAAAGGTGCTGAAACGTCGCTCACCTTCGAAAGCAAAGTAGTGACAATCCAGCTTCTCCTCGCACAGAGCGCAGACGACAGGAAACAGACCCTCCAGAAGCAAACATGTCTGTGAAGAAGAGCAGTGATGGACGTGGTGATGAAAGCATCCAGGAGGTTTTGTCCGACAGGAGTTTCGGGAGRTTTACCTGCGTGGCGTCGTGGCGTGAGCCGAGTAAGACGTGAGGTCGGCAGCAGGTCAGGAGGCCCCGGCACACGGCCAGCCGGCCCAGTCCGTCCTGAACCGCAGGGTCGCACTGGACCTGCAGAACACCAACGCTCAGCTGCCAGGGCTCTGAGAAGAGGCGGGAACACAACTCTGCATATTTACACTCGTTTGTAGAATCTGTCGAACTATCAGAGCTTTGATTTGTCTTTTTTCAAAGAAAAGGTAAACACATCCTCAGTGTTTAACAACAAACATCTCAGGCTTAAAGACATTCACACACCATGGTACTTCCTCCCACGTGCTTTAGAGTTGGTTGATAAAATGTTTTTTGTTTATTCGTGACATCAAGGCCTTTTTTCTTGGATAGCTCTCAGGCAGGACAGATTTTATGATTAACATCATCATACATATTAAATTCTCAAGTTTTTAAAGACTTCTTTTTGCATTTAACCTTCTGCTCTGGAACAAACTAATTATTGTGTAAAACAGAGAGCAGCCACCCACCATTGCCTTGAAGAGAGACCTGCAGCAGACTCCATGCAGCAGCTCCTCCAGCTCCTCCCTCTGACGCTGTGTTGATCAGCATCGCCACAGCGGTACCCGCTAAAAGACGAGTGTCCCTGTTGGAGCACTGGAGGATAGGACAAACAGCTGTAACAACATGCACTCATCTGTCTGAAGACCGACTCAGAGGGTGTTTTTCAAGCAGGAAAACCTGTCCAAGAATAATGTCCAGAAGAGCCTGCAGGATCTGCTGCACCGCTGGCTTCTCGTGGTTCTGTTCCCAAACAAGACGAGCAACTTCACAGGACAGCAGCTGGAACATCTGCAAACACACCTGCAGACAAAACGGATCTCAGGTTAGTTCACCAAGATTAATGATGTTCTTCTTATTTAAGCTGCATACTTTGACCGTACCTTTACAGTCATGTAACACACAGGTCCATCTCTCAGAGACTTGTCTCGCAAAACAGCTGGGAGAGACTCGGACAGTTTGTTCAGCATCGACACGTGGGATTCCCGCCACACCTCGCGGCCGACAGCGCTGTCTTCCAGGAACATACACGCTGAAAGAAGCCCAACCAAAGCAGTCTGAGTTTGATTCACTTCTACATTATGTCAATGAGGCAATCAAAACTTGTTGACTAGACCAACCTTTCTGCAGATCCTCCAAAGACCAAACCTAAAAAAAACAAATAAATGTAAAACATGCACATGGTTGAAGTGATATCAACAGAGGCATGACTGCAAACACCAGTAACAGAAAAGAAAAGAAAAGAAAAGAAAAGAAAAGAAAAGAAAAGAAAAGCCTCTGTACCTGATCACTGTGGACTACAGAGTGAAAACTGTGGCGGGTCTCCCTAAAAACTAACTGGTGGTCCACTTCTGCCAAAAGCTGCAGCATCTGTTGAGCAGATCCACTAAAGTTTTTACAAGATTTTGTCACACACACAAAAAAACGGACAGAAGAAAAGTGTAGCTGACCTGGTCCACTTTTCGACAGGCTGTGGAGATGCAGACCACCTCCAGCTGAAGGGATAAGAGGAGTCTGACCAGAAGCAGGAGAAGTTTGTCCTCCAAAGCTCCGAGCTGAGCTGCAGATGTTTGTCTCAGCAGCTGGACAGCCTCCTCCAAACAACGCTCCTTACATCTTTTCCCCTTGCTCCTGTGCACGCAGAGGGGAAACATTATTATAACACTGTGGGAGGTTAAGAAGATCTGTGGTTAAAAAGACTAGACAGGGTTTGAACCAACCTGGAAAACTCAGACAGTTTATAAACAAGCCGCCTGAAGATTTGTCCGACAGTTTCAGGAGCTGAATCCTCAACATTTAAAGCTTCCTGCAGTCCTGTCAACAGGTTTTCAAACGACATTGTTGCATTAAATCCTCAGGACAGGTGTTTAATGTTGACACATTTATTAAAAGCACGTTGGTTCACTGGTCACGTGACAATATTTTTCTTATTCGCCGTTTTTTTTTTTGTCATCGCAACGAAATGCTGCCCTCAAGTGGCTGGAGTCGGATTTTTCACCAAACTCCCAATACAAATTTTACTTTAATCGACATTTGAACAAGTATACAACTACTTTTTGTTTAAATAGTTTGACAATTAACTTATTTAATTTACAGCATTAATAAGAAAACAAGAATTTACAGCTGTCTGTCACTCATTTCAATGTTTTTATCACATTAAAAACAGCAGATTGATCAAAATGCATTTGAGCAATAATACTATAAAATATAAAATCAGCTAGCTTCGAAAGATTTGCTTGCATAAATATTTTTGAACAACTAATGTTTATGTTAATTTGGAAAACAAAAAGTATCGCAACAATACATATTGTAAATACACGTTTATTATATTTATAAATTATATTATTAATGGTTGCATTGAAGAAATTCGGTAAAAAAAAGTCTGATTAGATATGCATTCCATATAGTTAATATGGTGGCAAAAAAATAAATGCATATTTTTACTAGTTGCTTTGTATATATTTCTGCTATTATTTAGACCGGTTGAAGAAGCCGTCAAACAACGTGGTATTAGTAAAAATGTAGCGGCTTTGTGATTCCTGTACCCTTTATGATCGCATGAGGGCGCTGCTACTTTTCAGTTTCCTCGGAGCAGGATTCTTTCTTGTCTGTGATTGGTCAAGCAAAGACTCTTTCTTGTCGCTGATTGGTCGAGCGCTGCGTTTGCTATAACGTCGCAAATCGTTTACAAAGATGTCGAATCTGTAGTCAACAACAAATGGCTAAAGGGGGCGATGTTATCTTTTCTCTGTCTATTTCACATCACATCATATCTGTACTGCTTCTAGTTTCTTCGACTCTCTCTCAAAACACACTCGGTAAGATTTATTTTACACGTTATTATGTATCTTTTAATAAAATAGACGTGGTTTACTGCACTTTTTAGCTTTCAAGCTAACGTGCTATCCTTCCTCTCATTTCATGTAACTAACGTGAGCAGGCCTAAACCAGAAATGATAACTGTTTTTCTTTATTAGTTTTCCAGCCGTCCTCTCTCACTGCTACTGGACCTGCGGTCACCGCATATTTACTGGGGAACACCTCGGCTGTTTCACTGAACCTGAGGACAGTTTCTCCATCCAACACAACAGGTAAAAAGATAAAAACAAACTCTGCAAATTCTCCACTGGAGCACCTTTGTGCCGACTCAGAAAGGACTAGGTAGATGTGTGTCTTCATTGTGATTTTGAATAGATTAAATGTTATCTTCTTCAGAGAGCCTTGGATCCCCATCATGTGCAGAAGAAGCAACACGATGGGTGCTCACAACAGAGCAGCTAGGAAATGTAAGAGATCTGTTTGACTAATATTAAAGCAATGCTTAAGTCAGGAATAAAACTGCATATTTTCTAAAACAATGTTGTCTCGTCCCTCAGACTGCATTACGAGTGAATCTGAAATTGAATCAAAGTCTGCGCTTGTGTGCTGTGAATGACACAAACAGTGACTGCTGTCTGAAGTCTCTGTGTGTCCTGGAAACCCTCCAGTTGTCTGCCTGCGTTGGCAGCACACCCCAGGCATCGCTGCTGATCCAGACCTCCATTCATGCCCAGTTGTTCCCTGCTAATGCCGGATCCGGTAAATCCAAAATAAAAAGTTTGTCTTATGATCATGTAATGTGAGCAGATTTTAATGTGAATCATCTATTCCTTTCAGATAACAAAACAATCATTCCAAACCAAGTGTACCAACCGCTGGGTGTTTGTCCCTGTGACCTGACATTCAGAGTTTGTGACATACGATGCTGCTGTGATCAGGTATTTATCATGTGTATTTGTTATATGGTAATTTAATATGAGTATTCAGTAACACGTGAATCCAAATGTTTTTGTTTCACTGGCCATAGGACTGTTCCAGTGATGATTTGAAGCTATTTGTATCTCAATGTCTGCCAGGACCGTTTGGTGGACAGGTGTCTCCTGCTCCGGATTATCAGTGCTCCGTACAATCCTCTGAAAAGACTTCAGACTGGTTTCCATTTTTATGTGTCAATTCTCCACCTGAAAACAACCCTTATCTTGGTTACTTTTACCAAGGAGACACAATGTGAGAAAAAAAACATTTTAAAMCTGTTTATRATCACATCGTKTATTGAGTTTTTTTTCTTGTCATTATACATCTTTGTGATTTAATCATTTCAGTGCATCTAGTCCTGGTCCTTCTTACCAAGCTCCTGTACTGTCAGCCCCGGGGCCAGTTAGTCTTTATGTTCAAGGAAGTCCAATTATTCTGAAAAATGGCCAGTACTTCTCTATTCCTCAGGTTAGTTTTATGATTGATGTTGTTTTCTTATTTTACTTTCCATAGTGTTTTGTGAGACCTAATGGTTGCTTCTGGTCTACAGATGCTCCTCAGACAGTGCACGAATGGGGCTCCGGCAGCGTTTCTGAAAAACTTCCAAGTCGARTGTGTGACTCGTCTTAGCTCCTGTCCAACTGGAGCTCCTTTACAAACACAAGCAGCTGATATGAGCTCTGAAGTTATGAATGGGGAGGGAGGTGGGTATTACTTCTTAACCATTCCTAGAAGTGTGCTGATGTGTTTTGATACTGAGTGAATTTAATTATTATTTATTCCCCAGGAGTGGTGGTGGTGARTGTAACTGATGTCGAGGCCTCTGACTTGAGTTTGTTCATTTCTGAAAGTGGAGCAGTGAACTCTACATGTGTGTATATTAAAACACATGGCACGTTTACTACATTAGCTTAAACTAGCAGCTAAATTAACGATGAAATATGCTTTTATTGATCTAAAGCTGAGGGACTGGTGTGTCAAAACGTGACCTTAGCTCTGGACTACAAATTCTACTGGACAGGAAATGGCCTCACAGGTGTCTCAGTGACTCGCACTGTTGGGTCCATCCTCTTCAGTGGAAGTGGTGAGTGCCAATAATGCTTGCCTGTAAACTGACGTTTCTACAGTGATAGTTAATAAATTGTATTTTTGTCTACTTTAAACAGTGGCRTTAACAACAAGATATTCAGCCGTGTTTTTAAACAGAGAATTTATGCCTGAGACCAAGTCAGGAAACCCAGGTAGGAGGACGTGAAGACGTTTTGTCTGAGAAAACAGCTTACTGAAAAGCTGTTCCAGAGGATAATTCACTCATTTTAATTGGCAGGTTATCAGGTGGGAAGGCCTGTTGTTGCTGGTGTCGTGGGCAACAATACAGAAGCAATGCAGAAGACATCCATTAATATCTGGAAACCAGGTCAAACCCTTAAAATAACATCATTACTGGCTCATTGCTTAAACTTTCAGTTCCACACTTGAATCCAAACTAAAAGACGACTTGTCTTCTTGTGTTTTTGGTTTTCAGTACATGATGGACTGTGCTCCACTGCTCGGATGAAACCAGTTCAATTCGGGGAAAATTCAACCTCAGGGTGCCTGCTAGCTGTCAGTCAGCAGGATCTGACTCAGTGTGATCTCCTCAGGTCAGCAGCTCAGTATAAGAGCTTCAGATTATATGCTGTAAACCACACCGTGTGTTGTTTTTGACATGTGAGCTGTGGAATAATATTTTTCTTTCTTTCAGAGAAACGGTTGCTAATATGCAGGACGCTCTGACAGCTGCTACATATGTAGCAAAACACGGAAACCCCGATCTTTTAACTTGGACAGACTGGGTCAACATAAGCTGTGAGTAGACCACGCAAAGAAGCAATTTCTTCTTTTTAAAGTTAGTACTTTTGTTGTTTTCGCTTGAGAATAAACATGACAGTTTTATCCTTGTAACTAAATGTCTTTCACAACAAATCCAGTCGTGACACTGAACTCAAGTACAGCTGTGGGAGACGTGTCTAGTGCATGCAGTGGTATTCCATCTCACCAGCATATCCAAGTTTGGACTCTAACCGCTGGCCTGATAGACGGCGTACCGCAGAAAGAAATCCATGCTTTAGAAGTCAGGTGTGTATCACGTGACAACACAGATTTCCCTGTTTTTCACCGAGAAGCTGATGGTTGATTAAAGTTACTAAATAGCCTAATTCCTTTTAGTGCTTCAAATGACTTATTTTTTAGAAGTCATGCTTAGAAATATATCAACTCTGTTTATTTTCAGTTACAGTCTGTCTGCTTGGTCACTGAGTTGTGGAGGGGGTGATGTTTCTTCCTGTGACAACCTCGCAGAGTCACAGTTGTTCCCCGTCACATCCACAGTCACATTTACTGACATTCTCGTCAACACAGGACCACCCAAAAACAGGTGCCGGAACATTTAAGACAGCTTTTAGCACAAGTCACATAAACACATCTGCTAACGCAGAGCGATTTTAATTTTCTTTCTAGGTTTCGGATCAACTTCACTGAATACGACTGTAACAGGAACGATGTGTGTTGGCCTGAGCTCGCCTTTCCGTTCACTAGATATTACACAGGTAAGGATTTGACTTATCTGAAAAAGTTTATACGGAGGTTTACACCTTTCTTTTTTTAATCATGTAGTGAAATATGGAAGTGCCATATGAGCATCTATGTGAATAATAAACATGTCCAATGACTTTGTATATAAAGTCTTATAAGTGTGGAATATAAACAGTTTATTGTGGCTAAATCTGGGTTATTAATAATCTAGCAAAACAAAAAATAATGACAGTACCATGATGACTTATTTCATTGTATCTTTCACAGGTGAGCCTTATTCTCAGTCGCTGGCTAAAGGACTGATCCTGGTTTTCATGTTCATTGCTGCCTCGATCCTTGGAACTCCTTGGAGACAAATCAGACAGGCATGGCACAACGCTGCTCTCTAAAACTACTTCAATATGTTTTAAAATATAAAGAGATAAAGAGAGAGTAAGGTGCTAAAATATGATTTCAGTGTGAAATGTTTCAACACGTTTTTTCATTGAATGTGGCTCACAGTTTTATAGTTTTGAAATGTTGGTGATTTTGTAAATGTTAACAGTTGTTGTAATATTGCTATAGTTTGTAATAAAAATATTTTTMTACTAAGTCTTGTAAATGGTATTATGAGCTCATTATTTTTAAATGATAAGCTTCTTGTGCAGTAGCCATGCTCTTTTGTGTACTGCATTGATATAGCTGCATCACTGCAGCTAATTTAAAGATGAAAGTAATTATTTCTCTRTATTTGATGTCACTATATAGCTAATCTAGAGTTTTAGTCAAATCGCCGAGGTTCTGTACATCTAAAGTCATTTTTCTTTAAWGAGAGCTAAAATTGTTTTTCATTTATCGATAAATTCTAGGTTTTCAACTTTTGTCTCCATCCGGTAATCTAGTTTAATAATCCAGACATAAGCTGACTCTTTTTTTTTTAGAGTAAATAGACCTTATGTAAGTGATGACAATCACCACAATACTAAATACATGTACCACATTCCAAATGTCTGTAAAGAAGTTGGCATTTTAAATGTTGGTTTTAATCAATCCTTTTATAATACACTTCTATTGTATGGTGCATTTTGACATAGCACTTGGTGGTCAATTTTTGATAGACACGCAAAGCAAGAACAAATAATTTCTGCATAAATCATCTACTTATGTCTCAATTTTGTTGACTTCTTCTCATTAAAAACAAAAAGTGAATAAACTTCTGTCTCAGGTGTGCGTTCACCTTCAGACAATGCAGAGGGTTTAAAACCCCACAGAAAGTGGTTCGCGCCGCACTGCGCAGACTCCTGAAGTCGGCCGTGATTGGTCGAAAGGTTCTTGTGTGGAAGTTGATCGTACTCTGCAAAAGTGACGTGGAGACAGTTAAGGACATGGCCAGCCTATGTCCAGAACTTGACTAAAATATGAGAAGACCGGTCGGAACACTTGTAAGATATAGGATGTGAGGATATGTTATCGAAATAAACTTTGAGAAAACGAACTGTAATCCAAGAAACCGGAAGACGACTTACCTGGCTAACCAATTAGCTCGCTAACAGGAACAGYCTCTGCTCTGCTGTTGCGTCGTAAGGTCTGTTAATTTAGCATTTGCAAGTTAAATATTGCTTTGTCACATGAGACGAGTCGTGGAATTTGAAGAAAGAGCTTGACTGAAGACCTGTACCTCATAGACGCGTCCCCTGGTTGTTTGCTATTGTTGGCACGGGGGAACTATCGAGCCAGCTGCCAGGATGGGCTCTCTGTTTCGCGGTGAAGAGATGTGTCTGGCCCAGCTGTTCCTGCAGTCAGGGTCGGCATACGACTGCATCAGTGAACTGGGAGAACTGGGCCTGGTGGAGTTCAGAGACGTAAGTCGCTTAGTTCTACTTAGTTTCACTGTGAACTCAGTCTTGGTTTAGTTTAAGATTGTTTTTGAGTTTGGCATGTGAAGTGGTAAAGTTTACCTTCAACTTTTCAAGTGTTCACACCATCAGAACTGATCATTTTTTAGTAACTTACATTAGAAATTTATATATTTCTGTATATATATTCTGCAAATGTGCTTAACAACAATAGTAGTGTAATTAAAAGTACTTTATTCGTCAAAAATAATAAGTTTCAGAYGTCAATAAAATTGAGATATAAGAACAAAACAGCACCACGGTTATACAGAAATGACAAATAACCAAAATCATGAGTAATAACATGAAAGTACAGCAACTGTGTAGTTATGGTTTGTTGAGGGAATAATTGAATGCATCAGTGTGTTTTACATTTTTTCACAGCAGCGAAAGTATAAAATTGTTAATAATTTTGTGCCTGTTTCAGCTCAATCCCAACGTGAACGCATTCCAGCGAAAATACGTTAGTGAGATCAAAAAATGTGAAGAAATGGAGAGGATCCTCGGTGAGTATACGCCGTCGTCTGGTCACCAAGTTCAAAAATAGTTTTGTGCTTCTGGGTGGAAAACAGAATCCTTCTCAGCTCACAACGTTCAAAAAAGCGTTGAGTCGACTGTGGAAACAAAATCAGGAAAACACGACGCCACAGTGGATGTTCTCGCAGAATAATTAAGTGACCAGTAGCCCTTCAGTCATGAGAGATGTCAGGTGGTTGTAAATTTGGTTGAATAAATAGCTGCCATTGGGCTGTTTTAACCCCCTGAGATATTAGATTAAGGGGGAAAATGCAGAGTCTTGGGTTTCATGCAAAGGTTTTTCAAAGGACACTCATGGTTTGTAAAAGTTTCAAATTTTTCTTAACTGATTTTGTGTCATAAACATTTTATTTTTAACATTTCTGTTAGGATACCTTCTCCGAGAAATCAAGAAAGCGGATATTCCTCTACCAGAAAGAGATATGAGTCCTGTGGCTCCTTCACCTAAGCATGTCATGCCTATCATGGTGAGTTTATTTGCTGATTATTACTATTATTATTGGTGTCTTGTATTTGACCATGCATGCATAAACATGTCTTCACAGGAACAGCTGCAGAGACTTGAGGTTGAGTTGGGTGAAGTCACCAGAAACAAAGAAAAGCTACAGAAGAATCTGCTGGAGCTGAAGGAGTACACCCACATGCTCCGCGTCACCCGCAACTTTGTACAGAGAGCTGCTGAGGTGTCGAATTCAGCTTAACTCATAATAAAGGCTTTATTTTTAACCCTACAGTAACAAGACTTTTTCTTAACTTCRCTGCCTCTTTCTTTAATATCAGAGAGAACCACAGCAAGTGCAGTACGAGGAGTTCCCTTTTCTAGAAAAAGACACAAGGATGGACTACAGCAGCATGCAGAGGCTCGGAGCTAAACTGGGGTAAGAGCTGCACCAATGCCGTTTCCTGCACTAAAGCAGTTAATTCACTTTCTACAGACTGAGATATTTCATTAAAGTGCCATTTTTAGCTTCTGTTCAATAACCATAAAGGACGGCATAAAATCAGCAACACATCTTGTTTGTCAGGACAAGAAGTTCAAATTAATCTATATTTGTCTCAATGAATTGTAGAAAATGTTTTGTATATTAATGTGGGCATACGGTGAGTGTAAAGTTTTAGACTGGTGAGATTTAATATTTGAATTKTTTTTCTACATTTTTACAGACTTTTTTTTTTTAGCAAAAATGTGCTTCTTTTGCTGAAACGGTTTACTGATGGGGAGAAAATAACAAAATTCTTATTGTTTAAAAAATGACAGGCTCTGATTCCTAAGTCTTTTGTATCTACCTTCTCAACTCTGCCTCATTGCAACAAAAAGTATCTAAACCACAGATGACTGTTTTCTGTATTTTCAATCTGGCTTGATGTTTCTGTGTTGACTGAATGCAGACAACTAGTATAAATATTTGTACTTTTTCAGAATTTGTTAATTTCACAGGAATATCAGTGAAAAAAATGTAACGGGGTTAATTACTCAAGTGWAAATGTTAATAATTTACTCATCAGTTAAAATATTCTCTGTGATCTAACTGTGCAGTTTTGCTTTTTTTAAATCTACTTAACATTTTAAAAAATAGCGTTCATGTGCTTTTTATATTTGTGGTATTTAAAATCTAAAAGTTGTATGGCCTTGTTTGACACACATGGTAACCTTCATTTATTTTTGTTTAGATTCCTTTCTGGGCTGATTCAAAGAGCAAAAATTGAGGCCTTTGAGAGAATGCTTTGGAGAGTGTGCAAAGGTTACACCATCCTCAGTTATGCTGAAGTTGAAGAGTATCTAGAAAATCCTGAAACAGTAAGTTACTCACAGCTCACTAAGAAACTTTGTACCCAAGTTGATTCAGTTTTACTTGTGTCACATTTTCTCTGCAATGCAAAGTGATAATAACATTTGGACAGAAGAGAAGCAGGAGAAAGAACAATCAAATGTTGATAGTGAATGTGTTGGTGGGCAAAGAGAATTAATTGCTTCTCCTCTTAGCTTGTATTATGTTCAAGAGTATTTATTATCCTGATGAGCTTTGTTTCAGTCAGTAGACATGAACATACTAGACAAGACATAAAAACACTAAATTAACAGTAAAAAAAAAATCACTGTGAAGAAGTCTAATTATTGCAGTTTTTGTCTGTTAGTCTCACATCTGGGCCACGGATACCTGCGTCTGGACACAAGYAACCTGAACTCAGCATGGAGTTTCTATAGCTCACAAAAGCTTTTATTWTGTTAGTTCTTCAGAACAAAAACAATTGTAACCCAAACCGGTCTGTGTGAGTAATCAAGACTGGTTCTGAACAGCTTTTTGCAGGACAGACGTCACCCTTCTGAAGCTCCACGTGGAGCCTCTTCAGATTCRCAGCATAAATGTTGATGGCTGATTTTCTCATGATGAGCTTTTTAACACATGATCTTTTTTAATTTTTAAATTTTTAATGGAGGACACAAATGTTATCGGATTACATAAAAAAGACCTTTTCTCAAAACAGTCCCTTTGAGCTGAAAATTAAAAGCACAGCTGTAATGATGGTTATAACAACACAAAGGAAAACACTTTGCACAAAGTTTACAGTATTTAAAATRTAAATGACAGATGTGTCTTTTAAAACATGTTTAATTTTGTTATATTTTTGTTTTTCATACATGTTAGAAATAAATTTGAACTAACTTAAAAAAATACTTCTGTAATGAGCTCCTGTATCTTACTTATTGAGACAAACATCACTATTCAGATTATCAACCAACGTAGGGCTGCAGCGGATGACTAATAACTCACTCATGCTTTTACTGCTAGAAAATTCTATAAGCAGATTTAATATTTACTGATGAATGGACTGTCACCTTTTTTCCCCATTAACGGGGAAGAAAGTCACAAGTAACTTAGCTTCTCAAGATCCTGCTTTTATCAGCAACAGTAAATCTTTTAAATGCAACACTTAAAAACATGTTTTTTTACCTGCAGGGTGAGCCTGTGAAATGTGTGGTCTTCCTGATATCTTACTGGGGAGAYCAAATTGGTCAGAAAGTGAAAAAGATCTGTGATTGGTAAGTATTAAACACAAAAACACTACAGGCTGACATCTGGTTCTTTTTATTTTAATTTTAAATGTTACAGCTAGAGAAAATTGTAACTTTATTGACATTTTTAAAAGAATACYATTTTCCTCTGYAGCTACCACTGCCACTTGTATCCATACCCCAGTAGCAACGATGAGAGGAACGATGTTGTGGAAGGATTAAGAACTCGCATTCAGGATCTGCACACAGTAGGTTTAATATATTTCAAAAAATAAATATGCATGTTTCTAATCTCTAGGAAATAAAGCTCACTAGATTGTTTTAAACTTGATTTATGACATGAAAACCAATGAATACATGCCCTGCAGTAAGTGTTCTCGTTTCATCTGTTCTTTTATTCTGAAAGAACAAATTTAAGTCTGATATTCTCAGATGAGTTTCTCAGTGAGCATTGTTTTTACTATGAGTCATGTGGTATTTTTTTTAAAACCTGCTGTGACTGAAACAAAGTTGTAGCACATGATCAACAGGAGACCTGAACTGAATGTTATAAGGTCTTTTCTTTATCTCTCTGCCTTTCTTAAAAAACTGTTTTTGTCTGGTTTCCTTTTTGTATTCCTCCTACAAACATAAACATCTACACGAGCCTCTCATTCATGATGCAAATGCATGTTTTCTGTAATGTTGAATTATTAAACAGAGAAGTTGGTAAATGTCACATTCTGTGTACCTGTCACTGCGTCCAGGTGCTTCATAGGACAGAGGATTACCTGAAACAGGTCTTGATCAGGGCCTCAGAGTCGGTCTACACCTGGGTCATCCAGGTCAAGAAAATGAAGGCCATATACTACATTCTGAACCTGTGCAGTTTTGACGTGACCAACAAGTGCCTGATTGCGGAGGTGTGGTGTCCTGTTAATGACATTCCTAAGCTGCGCAGAGCCCTGGAAGACGGATCGGTGAGGAAACCTTTTACAAATTCCTCCTCATATTCTGCTTGTATTGTTCTTATATGTAGTGTTTCTAAGGAGTTTTATTCTAAGATGACCGAACCAGAAAGCACATTGCTCTTTTTGTATTTTTATTTAATCCTAATCTAAAGTTTTCACATTATTTCAGAGAAAGAGTGGTGCGACGGTTCCCTCTTTTGTCAACCGTATTCCCACCACCGACACTCCCCCCACCCTTATTAGAACCAACAAGTTTACCTCTGGCTTCCAGAACATTGTAGATGCCTATGGAGTGTGTTCCTACAGGGAGGTAAACCCTGGTGAGTTTCTTTGTTTATTTTATTCATCCCCAAATAAAATTCCAAAAACAAAAAAATGATTCATCAACAAGTGTAATATCACCAGTTCACAAATTATAGAGTGAAAAAATGTAAACTAATTGTTTGTATTCTGTGAAAATGTAGTGTCATCCCTGTTTTTAATATTTTAAACTCAACATCTTAGCAATATATTTGAAACTCTCTCCTGTCATTTTCAGCTCCGTTTACAATCATAACATTCCCGTTCCTGTTTGCTGTGATGTTCGGAGACCTYGGTCACGGAGTTCTCATGGCTCTGTTTGCCTCCTGGATGGTTCTGTATGAAAACAACCGCAAACTTAAAAACACCAGGAATGAGGTGCGTGGCATAGCTCTATATTAAAGCTCATTTTRTTGTAACTAATCAACAGTGGCGTTCAGTACAACTGTGTGTTTGACGTGTGCGTGCAGATTTGGAACACGTTCTTCGAGGGGCGTTATATAATTCTGATGATGGGCCTGTTCTCCATCTACACTGGGCTCATTTACAACGACTGTTTCTCCAAGTCCCTTAATATTTTCGGGTCTGGGTGGAGCGTGAAGGCCATGTATGATGCTAAAGTGTGGACGTGAGTATCGAATGACAAGTAATTAATTGTGTTTTAAAATGTCAGCAGCATGTCAGGTGTTTGTTGATCTTTTGTTGATTTCATAAACTTCTAACACGGACTTGTTTTTATTTATATCTTAAAGGAAAAATGACGTTCTTGGGAATAGTTTTCTCACTCTGGATCCAAACATTACTGGAGTTTTTCATGGACCGTACCCTCTAGGAATCGATCCGGTGAGTGGAGTTTTAAAAGACATTATTGTGTAGAAAGTTTTCTGGGTGATTTAAAGAACCACATCGTACACAGAAGCTTTAAAAGGCATCATGTCACTTTATGTCAACAATTAGATCTTCATTCAGAAAAAGATTAGCTGTTTGAAAGAAGAATAGAAAAAAAAAACCTAACTTCTTACTATTTGGCAAACACAGCTGGTTGTTATTTCTGTGGCTCTGATAACATTTTGAGATTTAAGTAATTTGTCATTCTTCTGTTGTAAAGATTTGGAACTTGGCTTCCAACCGCCTCACATTCCTCAACTCCTATAAGATGAAGATGTCTGTGATTTTGGGCATCATACATATGAGCTTTGGAGTGATCCTCAGCACTTTTAATCACACGTAAGTGTTATTTTTAGTTCTATTTAAAATTTTGGAAAAGCCTAAATGTCCACTTTTTTCATTTTTAATTATTTGCCTTTTTCTTTGTCGATTAACAATAGATACTTTCGGAAGAAGTACAATCTCTACTTGGTATTCCTGCCTGAACTGGTGTTCCTGTTGTGTCTGTTTGGCTACTTGGTGTTCATGATTTTCTACAAGTGGTTGGCCTACACTGCAAACGACTCCAGTTGTGCTCCCAGCATTCTCATTCACTTCATAAACATGTTCCTCATGCAAGGTGATGAACAGCCAGGTGATGAAAAGCACTGTCCTGAAAAGAAGCGCCTCTACCCAGGACAGGTCAGCAGCTCCGTGCTGTTTTCAGAACTGATCTAGTTTGGTTTGGTTTTACTTGTACAACATTTATTGGTGTTTGTTGTTGTTGCAGACTGGCCTGCAGGTATTTCTGGTGGTCATTGCTGTTCTTTCAGTACCTGTGTTACTCCTGGGGAAACCACTTTACCTTTACTGGCTTCAGAACAGAAGTCACCACCTGGGAATGTACAGGGTGAGATTTTAAACATGGCAGATCTATAGTTTGTGTTTTAAAGCTTTAATTATTAAAGCAAAGCTGATGCAAACTTTAATAAATCAGTGAGATTCAGACCCATTTTAGGCTCATTAGTTCACGCTGTTCAATTTAACATGCTTTAAAAATATAAATAACTATTAGCTGCCTCATCTGTCTCAAAACACCAAAGCAATGATTTTAAATATGGAAATAGACCAAGCCTGTGTTTGTATTCTCAGGGATATGAGCGCGTGAGAAGAAACAGTGATGAGGAGCTCTGCCTGCTGAGGACTCATGATGATGAGGAGGGCAGCAGCCACAGCGAGTTCTCCGGCAGCAGAGAACACCTCTCAGAGGAGGTCAGACCAGTGAAGAGTTTAGACCTTTGCTGTTCGATTCTCACGTTCTTTATCAGCAGCCGTAGTTATTATTGTTGTTGTTGTTGTTGTTGTTATTTGTTTCTGATGAATCTTCCTGTTGGTGCAGTTTAACTTTGCAGACGAGTTTCTTCATCAATCCATTCACACTATAGAGTACTGCCTGGGCTGCATCTCAAACACAGCGTCGTATCTGAGGCTCTGGGCTCTGAGCTTGGCACAYGCTCGTGAGTATAACCGTCCACAATTAGACACAAGCTCCTTTATTATGTTCCTTAAACAGAAACAGAAAAAAAAAAAAACTCAAAGTGCCAGTGTTGCATGTTTTCCTCTTTCTTTTGGTTTTGTAAATACTGCATGTCAAGCATTGTGAGGGGTTTATACTTTTGTACCATTGTGTATTATATTTCCATAAATTAAAATTGACACTTTTCCCCACCTGCTAATGGTTTCAGAGCTATCGGAGGTCCTGTGGGCCATGGTGATGAGGGTGGGTCTACGAATGGACACCACACTTGGGGTTTTATTTCTGATCCCRGTGTTTGTGCTTTTTGCCATTCTCACCGTGTCCATCCTCCTGGTTATGGAGGGACTCTCTGCTTTCCTTCATGCCCTTCGGCTGCACTGGTGAGTTCTTTTGTGACTCTCTTTGAGTTATCAGTATTTTTACGTTTCTAACAGCCGCTTCTTTTTTTTCCCCCAGGGTGGAGTTTCAAAATAAATTCTACAGTGGGACAGGAGTCAAGTTTTGCCCGTTTTCCTTCTCTCTGCTGCCTTCCAGCTTTGAACAGGATGGCTTACTTTGAAGAGACTATCTAATAATACCAACAGCTGGAAAACAGAAGAAAACAAGCCAGCAGGGTCCTTTTGGTTATGAAGACTAATTTCAGGGATGTCACTTATATATATTATTATTATTTTAAGTTATGTGAATAAATGATATGGTGAGTTACAGAAACCCTCAACTGAAGCACAATCACCTCCCAGAGGTTTCCTGAACAGACCCAGTTGGACAGTGTTTCTTATTGCAGTTTCATGTAACAGAGTATATTTTTTTACCAGGATCAGGATGCTTCAGTGCAGAACATTTTGAAACGCTGTGGAATTAATACACTGGGAAGAATGAAGGTCATTAAAACGGAGAGCTTTGACCTCTGAATGCAACATCTGTCAAAAGAAGATGGATTACTTTAGTATTAAATGGTAACAATACAAAAAAAGAAGCTCCTTTCAGTTTGCTTCGGTTAAACCTTTATATAGAAAACTTTGTTTGGACTTTATGGGATTTCTTATGAAAAACTTAAAAAGCTAAATAACATTTACTAAACCTTTTTAGGGAAAAAAATACTTCCAAAAAGTTTTTCTTTTTCTCAATTTTTCTAGTTTAGCACGTTTTCTAATATTGCCGTGACTTTGCTGAGCTTCACTCATGCAGATCTGGTTCCTCTGCAGTAACAGTTTTTCTTGTTGAAAAGTATTTGCACATTGATTCAGTTTAAAAAAAAAAAAAAAAAAAGCATATATTTTATTGACCAAAATATAACAAACAGAAGAAAACTAAGATCCGGTCTGTCATGCAGACGTTTCACTGTGGCATCAGGATGTCACTACGAGCCCAGCTGAGTCTCTTCATGCAGAACTGCTGTTGATTCAGACTCTTCTGTGTGTTACTCACACATTGCCTCTAAAGCAGCTTCTTCTTTTCCSTTCAGAGCCGGTTAAATYGCGTGGTGTAGAAGACTTTAGCTGTCTCGTCACATAGGATGATGTCTTTCTGCAGCTCTGACATCATTGTGACATACTGATCCCTCACTCATAGCCTTAATGAAATCTGCTCCATCTAAGACGAACTGATCCTCTCACTCCAGTGCTTTGTGACAAGGGTGTGTTTGATGATTAATGCCTTTCCTCTTAGTCTTGTTRAAGTGCAGGTAATGGTGTAACCCTACCTCAGCTTTGGTGGAGTTTTGATACCGAGACACAGTGAAGTCGTTTGGGCCTTGTTGTGTTGTGTACTGCCTGAGCAGCTGTGTGTGTATGCTGGTTCAGAAATATATATTTTTAAACATTTATTAGAATGTGTGTCAAAATTACAGATGGATGCTGATTGGATGATTTTTTTTGTAATTTCTAACAATTTTTGTCAGTATTGCCTTTTTACCTGCTGCTGAATGTAAAACAGAGAAGTTCCTAAAACATGTATTTGTTGATTTGTCTTTGCTGGTTTGAAACAAAAGTCCTGCATTTATATTTCAGCCTAGTGTCTGTTGACGTGAGCCATTAAAATTTGTTTATTCTGCGTGGAATTAGATTTTATTTTTAACTCAAATCCAACTTTTTTTGACATCTTTGTATTTAATGTCTTCTTGTTCACTGGCAGCACATTCCATTATTTAACTGGTACATGGTTTTTAGAATGTCAGATTTTAGCTTTTTGTTTCTCCTTTGTACAAAACTAATGTGAAAATAAGACTGCCTGGTTGTCTGTCTTATATGCTTTATTATTTTCTGCCCAGAATTGTCTCTTTGCCTTTCAAGCAGAAAGCCAAAGCACAATAAACACAACAGGAATACGATCTGTAAYGAGATTTTTTGGTAGAATTTAAAATGTGTATTTAGTAATGTGATGAGTTATGTTTGGCCTTATACCATTCTTCTTATTCACATAAATACTTTCATCTTCAAGCACTCCACTCACCTCGTTTTAACAATTTGTCCTCAATAATAAAAGATTTAATTTGTCACAGTCATGAATGCATCTGTTTAGTTTTCTTTATTGAGGTTAGTGGTAATATATTTTTATATCTCATGTAGCAAAAGTATTTTTAATATAAAATGGTTTAATCAAGAAAATGTATTACCTCAAGTTTATCTTTAAGACATGACTTTTGATTCATGTGCCRCTTCCAAAACGTAGATTTACTTTGGAGAAACTTGTTTTGCATCATTTTTAACAGTTAAACTCAATATGAAAGTTTTGATTCAAATAAACAGTGTTTGTTTTTAACCCAATCAGTTTTCTCATGCTGTGGCTTTAGTGTATTTTTGAGRATTCAGTCATCTTTTCACCGTAATTAGGTTTACAGAGACTTACTGTATTTTTCTTATTGTCCAGTTTGGGTGAGTGTGTGTGAAGGTCCATTTGCTGTGTGTTCAGACATAATTTTCCMCAGACCTTTCATTGTAACCAGTTGCCTTTCTGTAAACTCAAACCAGTCTGCATATTCTGTCATTAACTGTACCTTTTCCTCTACCAAACTTTAAATCTTGTGTTTGTAATTTCAAGAATGTGTCAACACCTGAAAGAAACCAATAAATAAATAAATAAATAAATTTTGCTCCAAAAATCAAGAAATTTTCTGAGACAATCCTTGTGTCACTGAACCAGCACATCTCTCATAACAGACTCGGTGTCCTCTGTGTGCTCTACAGGTCAGCGAGGAGGACAATGAGCTGCTCATCATTCATCAAACAGGTGTGGAGTGACCTGTGCAGAATCTGGACAAGTGGTGATGTCAAGAAATCATTCACGGTAGTAGTGTTGTATAAAGMAGTGGTTCCCAAACTTTTTATCTTCTGACCCACAAAATATCCATGGCAAAAACTTGTGACCCCAAATATTACTGGTCTGAGTACATGAACTTCGTTAATAACCCTAAAAACACAGGCTTTTTGACAATCTAAACAGCTTATACACAAATATAAAACTTATTTATATTTATTTTGTGTTTTTGTAATAATTAAAGGGAAAATATTGCATCAGCAATTATTTTATTACCCTTTAAATTGATTTCTGGAGATTATCCAAGGTGCTTCATGACCCATAATTGGGTCCCAAGCCCAACTT